CATCATCATCATCATCATCATCATCATCATCATCATCATCACCAACATCATCCCCACCATCACCACAGTCATCATCATTATCGTGATCATCATCATCAGCAGCATCTTCATCATCATGATCACCATCCTCATCCTCATCCTCACCACCATCATCATCATCATCATCATCATCATCATCATCATCATCATCATCATCATCATCATTACCATCATCTTCACCATCACCATCATCATCATCAGCGTCCGCATCATCATAATCATCATCACCATCGCCATCACCATCGTAATCATCATCATGATCATCAATATGACCATCACTCTCATCATCACCATCACCGTCATCACCATCATCACCACATGATCAGCATCATCATCATCACCATCATCGTGTTCATCCGCGTCGCCATCATCTTCATCATCCTAATCACCATGACCACCATCATCATTCTCATCATCAACATGATCCTCGCCATCACCGCCATTATTATCATCATCATCCACATCATCATCACCGCCATCATCATCGTCAACAACATCACCACCATCAGCATCATCATCAACAACATCAACATCGCATCATGATCATTACCATCATCAACAACATCACCATCACCATCATCATCATCATCATCATCATCATCATCATCATCATCTTCATCATCATCACCATCATCATCTTCATCTTCATCTTCATCATCATCATCTTCATCATCATCACCATCATCATCTTCATCTTCATCTTCATCATCATCATCATCTTCATCATCATCATCATCATCACCATCTTCATCCATCATCATCTTCATCCATCATCATCATCATCATCATCATCATCATCTTCATCCATCATCATCATCACCATCACCATCATCATCATCATCATCATCATCATCATCATCATCATCATCATCTTCATCATCATCATCATCATCATCATCATCATCATCATCATCATCCCTCCCCTGCTCACCCCCATACTGCCCGGCCCCGTCCATGGCCCCAGATCCTGGCGAGACCGAGAACAGCCGGCCCCCGCCCGCGCGGGAGAGCTCGCTGCTTGAGTGGTCGCCGAACCTGGGCCGCTGTCCTCGAGCGGCAGAAACGTGCCATCGCTCGGACGTCCATTCCCCACTGCCCTGGTTGGCGTCGCGCCTGGCCTGTCTCCCGAGGTGGCCCAGGATGCTCCAAGGTGGTCCAGACGTCCTGGCGCTGCCCATCGCCGAGAAGATCGCACACGTCTAAGCGATGCCAACGGAAGACCATGGGGTGGGGAGGCAGAGGCTGCGGGAGGGAACAGCAGAGGCTCAAAACACTGCAGAACCTCAAGCTTTCGGAGGTCCGCGCGGATTTCTTGGATCGGCGCTGGGCCCCGTCCTGGTGCGCGGAGTGCGCCAGCGGCGGCGCCGGAGGCGCCGCCAGGGGGGCCCAGCGCCGATCCAAGAAATCCGCGCGGACCTCCGAGAGTCTATGGTTATGTAGATTTTTGTTCCTCCTCTTCCTTCCTCCTCCTCCTCCTCCTCCTCCTCCTCCTCCCTCCTCCTCCTCCTCCTCCTCCGCCTCCGCCCCCTGCCTCATCTTCCTCCTCCTCCTCCTCCTCCTCCCGCCCGGAGGACTGTCCTGCTCTTCCCGAGGGACTTGTCCTCGCCAGGCCCCCTGCACTCATGGCGTCCGTGGCGAGGGACGCGGGGATCATTTCGACAAAGGCGGTCGGCGAGCCGCGGAGCTGTCGGAGCGGCGCCTGCGCGGGGAAGGGTGGAGGTGACCCCGTCCCCATATGTGTGGCTCGCTCGTCCTGCCCTCTCCTCCTCATGGTCAGCACCACCATCATCACCCTCGCTCTCATCATCACCACCATCGCCATCATCATCACCACCACCAGCAATATCATCATCATCACCACCACCACCATCATCATCATCATCATCATCATCATCATCATCATCATCATCATCATCATCATCATCATCATCATCATCATCATCATCATCATCATGATAATGATCATGATCATGATCATGATCATGATCATGATCATGATCATGATCACCATCATCATCATCATCATCAGCATCATCATCATCGGCATCAGCATCATGATCATGATCATGATCATGATGATCACCATCATCCTCATCCTGATCCTCATCCTCATTCCTTATCCTCACGTCGACCCTCACCACACACCATCACAGGACTGATCATCATCAGCATCATCATCAGCAGCAGCAACAGCAACATCATCAGCAGCAGTATCAGTATCATCATCATCCGAATGACAATGATCATGACCATAACCATCATCATCCTCACCATCAGCAGCATCATCACCATCATAATCAGCATCATTCTCAGCATCAGCATTAGCATCACCATCACGAACACCATCACCATCACACAACCACCGTCATCATCAGCAGCATCATCACCATCATCAGCATCAGCATCAGCATCAGCATCAGCATCCGCATCATCATCATCATCATCATCATCATCATCATCATCATCATCATCAGCATCAGCCGCATCAGCATCAGCATCAGCACCGACATCATCATTAGCAGCAGCAGCATCAACATCAGCATCAGCATCAGCATCAGCATCAGCATCATCGTCGTCATCGTCGTCGTCATCGTCGTCGTCTGGCGCCAGTGCTCGCCGTCGCCGTTTGCGAGCAGCGAGTAAGGAGGGGGGGTAGGGGGGGACGGCGGGTATACGGGCGGGGGGTGCAATCACCATCCCTTTCGCAGGGGCGTGGGGGGGTGTCGGTTGGTTTTGAACCCCCCCAGTGCGCCGGGGGCGGGGGGCTGCAGCCCACCCACCCCCACCCCTGGCCAGTGCACTCACTGCGCGCTCCTTGAATCAAGGGCAAGTGTGCCCTCTGTAAATGCAGAGTCGCAGGGGCCGTCCGAAGCAGCTCGGAGGCCACAACCCAAGGGCGCAGAGCCCAAACCGCTTCGAAAGTGGAGGCCATGCTGACTGCGGCATCGTAAGAGGGGGAACTGGCGGTAGCCTACGGATAGGAAGACGAGGAGGCGGAAGAGGGTGCGGATGATGGCCAGGATGAGGATTGAAGATGGGAGGTGGAAGAGATGACATCCCTCTGTTTCTTCCGACGCTACGCGTTGCTTCGCTGGCGGATGAGGACGATCACTGGCTAAGAGCTTCCAGGTCTACGAGCGGGCGGACCGCCATTGGGCAGTCCTTCGGGAGGAGGAGGAGGAGAAGAAAGAAGAGGAGGAGGATGAGGAAGAAGAACAGGAGGAGCAGGAGGAGGAGGAGGAGGAGGAGGAGGAGGAGGAGGAGAAAGAGAAAGAGAAAGAGGAGGAGGACAAATAGGAGAAGGAGGAGGAGGAGGAGGAAGAGGAGAGGGAGGAGGAGGAGTACTAAAGGCCCTCTCCCGGCTGCAATTGCCGACGGCTCGGCGACCGCGGGGGCCGGCGCCAGAGGGCGCCGAATTCGAGCGGCCGCCAGAAGGGCGGGCGCGCGCGCGGCTGGGAACGGCAGCGCCCGGCGGCGCGTGCAGAGGCCAGGAGGGGGGGGGCGGCCCTCTCCCTGAGATCCTGGCGCCTCCATTTTTTCGAGCCGCGCGACGGGAAATTCGAGGGTCCAGGGAGGATCGAGGAGGAGGAGGAGGAGGATGAGGAGGAGGAGGAGGAGGATGAGGAGGAGGAGGAGGAGGAGGGGGAGGAGGAGGAGGAGGAGGAGGAGGAGGAGGAGGAGGAGGCGGAGGAGGAGGAGGAGGAGGAGGAGGAAGTGTTCGTACGTTTTCGCTGCTGCCTTCATGTTTTTGCTCGCCTCGGGGTGCTTCCCAGCAGCTGCGCCTCGCCGAGAGCGTCCGGAGGATGCCAGAGTCGTCCCGAACGACCGGCGGAGGCCGGAGTCCTAGCCTGAAAAACCCAACCTCCGACGACCCCTGAGACTCGGGCGGTGCATTTGCGTCACTCCGAGCGCCTTCGCCCGCTTTTTCCGGCCACGGGACCCTCACAGACCGATGCGACTCGAGACGTGCCGCAGAGAGATGGGGTCCAGGGCTCCAGCCGCGTGCGGTGTTTCAACGCTTTCGCGCCGTCGCCGCTGGGGGTGCCGCCCCGTCACCGCCGCGTCGCCGCCCGTCGTCTGGGCCGGTGGGCCGCTCTGGCGGCTGCGTTGCCGCCGTCGCCGCCCCCTTGCCGCCGCCCGTCGCCGCACCGCTTTGGTCACGATGTTGATCGTGCGAGGCTCTCGCAGCTGGGAATGTGCGCCGGTCCGGCTGGCTTGTGTACCCGCCCGTCGCCGCCAATCGCCGCACCGCGCAGCTCAGACCGCGTAGATTGCACTGCGCAGACTGCGCCAATTTAGCCGTAGCCGTGTTGGCTCAAGCCATCTTGGCTCAAGCCAGAACTTCTGGCTCAAGCCCCACGTGGACCCCGCTCGGGGTCCGAGTGGGGGTGAAAGCCCTGTGGCCTGCCTGGCTCACTGGCGCCACCCCGTGCGCGTCGGGTCTCCTCCGGGGGGGCGCGTGGCGGGGGCTGGCCGGCGCGGGGGGCCTTCTTCCCCCCCTCGCACCCGATGCCCCTCCACGCTGGCGGCGGCGAGGCGCTGCCTGGCGGAGGCCCCGGGTGCAGCGCGTGCGGCGCGGCATGCTGGCCCGCCCTCGGCATGATCCTCCTCCTCCTCCTCCTCCTCCTCCTCCTCCTCCTCCTCCTCCTCCTCCTCCTCCTCCTCCTCCTCCTCCTCCTCCTGCGGCCCCTCGGGGGCGCGCGGCGGGGCAGGAGCTCAGGGCCCTGCTGCGCGGCGCGCCGTGCAGCCGCGTGCCGGCGGCGGCGGTGGAGCCCGAGGGCGCCCCTCCGCGCCGGCGGCCGGGGCAGCGGCGGAGCCGACGGCCTTCGCCGAGGGCGCGGGGGCGGGATGGCGACTCGCCGAGCGGGCGAGCGTGGTCGAGGACGCCCCTGGGGTGTGGCTGACGCCCACGCGCCCGGGCCAGGGCTGTCCGGAGGCCGCTGCGGCCCCCGCCGTCGGGGGGAGGGGCCTTTCGCGGCGCTGGCCGGCGACCACGACGACGAGGAGGAGTCCGAGGTCGTCGTCGAGGGCGGCACCGGGACGCAGGCTGCGACGGCGTGCGCGGGGGGTGCAGCACCGCGAGGCGTCCGCTCCGAGGAGGGCGACGGCGACGGCGGCGACGAGCTGCTGGCAGAGGCCATGGCACGGGCCAGGGAGGAGGGGAAGCAGGTGGACTTCGAGAGGTCAGAGAAGATGCAGGTGCGGGAGAGGCAGAGCGGACGGAGCAGGGCAGGGAGTCGGTGCCCAGCCCTGAAGGTGCCCGCGGACTGCCAATCCCGTGGAGTCGACGGTGGCAGAGCCCCGGGCGCGAGGAGCGCTCCGACGGGACTGCGGGTCCGCCTGGCTGAGCGAGTGCGGCGCGCCGCCGAGGTGCCAGCGCCGTCGCTGGCGTCGGGCGCCCGCTGGCGGAAAGGCTTCAAGGAGCAGGTGGGCAGGAACGTCGACGATGTGGCCGCAGAGGGCGATGGCGGTGGCCTGAAGCTCGATGGGGACGTTGACGAACTCGTGCTGTGCGGCATGGTGCTGCAGCCGACGGTCGCGCGGCCGTGCGAGGACACCGAGGTGTCCTTCAAAGCGGAAGTCGCAGGCGTGGACATGCCCGTGCAGGACGACGTTGAGGCGACGTCCGAGGAGCTCGACGGGGTCGGCGACACGTTTTCGACGAGCTTGCTGAGGGCGACGACGGCGGGGGCGACGCCGCGGAGAAGCTGAGCAGCCTGTTCAGCGACGTGCGGGAGGCGCGCGAGCCCTTCGAGAAGGCGCATGTGGCGGAGCTGGGGCAGGGAGCCATGGGCGTGGCTGTCACCGGGCTCCGCGATGCCCTCGGGCAGAGGGCCGCGGCCCGCCGTGCCGACCTGCTGACCGCCGAGCCCCACGAGGAGTGCGGCAGCTACTGCCGCCGACAGCTCCTGGCTGGAGTGCGCACAGCGGCCAGGGACAAGGACGGCCGGGACGGAGCCGTCGAGGGCACCTTGGGTGGACCTCCTGGCACAGCGGGAGGCCCTGCGGTGCCAGGAGGCAGAGAGCGAGCGCCGGACGGCAGCG